TTGAACCTTGACCCGTGTATTACCGTTGCTGTGGTAATTCTTAATCTGCAGTAAACCTCTAATGAATTCTCTTTCTATCAAACTCTCATTGAGACAGCAGGGATAGACTTGAACCAGATCGATTCAAACAGAAAAGTAGTCATTTATTATATTAAACCAGGGGTCACCAAACCTTTTTAATCATCGAAAAAATTGAAAAAAAGACAAAAATTGATGAACAAGGAGGCTCGAAAATACAGAATTACCGTTAGGGTACCTGGATGCGCGTCACCCGTTTTTATTAAAGGCAGTAAACTCCATAGGAAAGAAAAAGATCACTAAGGTGTCTCGGGGTCTGCAGGCAAAACGGAGCAAGAATCATTTATAATAAGTCTGAGAATGAGAACTCATCTCGAAACACCCATACATTCATTAAACGGTAAAAAAAGATAAATAATTATTTTTAAAAATATGTAGGAATGGGAAATTAAATAATCTGTAATCTATTACAAAAATTTTATGAACTATATTATAATTACAAATGATATTCCAAATGAATTGCGTTGCTGTCGATAAATTTGCGATTGAATTGCATTGGTATTCATTCATCGACCCCTAATCGACCGCCTGGATCGTATCGACTCCTGATTATATTATATTGACCCCCAGGGTCTATATAGACTTCTTTGTCAACCCTTGTTTTAAACGTTCGTTCAGACGTGATTAGATAGAGTAACGAAGGGAAAGGTTCCGTTAGTATTAATTTTGAAATATTCAACAAAGTGAACAATAAACGTTTTTATATGCATATTTGGATTCAATATTAAAGTGATTGAATGTGTCTGCTTGCAATTGGTTAAACTTAGTTATTACTAATGAAGGAATTAATTAGCGAGTGCTATAGGATAGCCATTTTTTTTCAGTACTCAGCTCATCAAAGATACCTAGACATAAAGAAACAAATTGCAATACATAGAGTACGAACATAACTTGCCAAGTACAATAATACATGTTAAAATAGGGTTACAAGTAAATAGTTAGGATTATGGAGATTGAGTTTTAATCGATACTAAGTAATATTTAAATAAAAGGAAATCTTAAAAAATGATGAAAAAATAACTTGAGACAATTTAAAATGAAACATCAATAATCAGCAAAAACATTTACGACAGAAGAGGTTGTACCAAAATAGTATAATTTGAACTCGAATGTACATAATACGAGCAAGCCCCCAAAAGAGATAAAAATTCAAATATTTCTTCAGAACAGAAATTGTTCTCATATTTATACCAATAGAAACAATGTGAGCTTTTATGGCAGGGTAGATAATTACATACGATCATGCCACTGTAAAAAAAATAATATAAAATGTATGAGAAATTATCAAATTAAATTAGAAAACGCGTGCGCGCGGTAAACTCTTACAGAGGTGAATGCAATAAGCATTTTTCGATATGATTTATTGTTCGTTTTCAATACGAAATTTATTGAGATTGTATCTTCCTTCTCAAAATATCCTTCTCGAGATGTCAAGAACGAAGTTTTATTTCCGAAATATGAATTGATTTTTCTCAAACAGTTGCATATGCGAGTCTGAAACATGTTTTTGTTATCTGAATGTTTGAAGCGACGAATGTTTTTGTTATCTGCAAAATGAAGTATTTTAATTTGACTAACGACAGCAGTATGAATCTGTGGAATCAAATTGTTGTTATTTATTTTTTATATAACAACTTTAGTTCGTTTCTATACTAACAGATAAACAGCTTACAAATAATTTTAGAGATTGATCAAATTTAAATCCCCAGATTTCTAAATCATAAAGTATCTTAGTACAAATTACCCTAAGACGAAAAGGACACTGATAATAATTTCAATAAAACATGAACAGTTTTTTTTAATTTAAAATCTCATAAAATCGCATCGAAAATCATTTGATAAGAAGTATTTAAATATGAAAGAAATATACTAAAGAAAACACATGAGCCTCTTTAAATAACATTTTCATATTTAGAATAATTTTTGTAGATGTCATGCAAAAGTACATTTCGTGTTTCTCTACGAAATAACGTTTTGTTACGAGTTAGAATTTTCTCGCTAATGATCAGCCATTGATTTGTTATGTTTTCAGATGCCAGAAAAATAAATGAACGACTAATTAATAATATGCATGCCTAAATAATCTCAAATGAGTGATTGCCTTTAATAATTGTAAGTTTATCTACCTTTGTTCTGGGTACAAAACAAGTTATTATAAGTAATGAAAATTTAATTACAAAAAATGGATTAAAATTTAAAGAAATATTTGTATATATATATTTGTTTTTCATTATAGAAAACTAGATCTTGAATGTATAACAGATAGAAATAATTCATCCAAGAAGAGATAATTCGTCAACTAAAATATATCTTATTGTCACCCCCAGTTGAATCTTATGTTGTACGTTAATGATTTCTGAAAGCAGTTCAAGCAGATCAAGATATTCGTTTAGATTGGTTGTATGATTTCGTTGCATTGAATCTTCATGATACATATCTTGGCAAACACAAGGTAAAATTGTTACCATTTTAATAGATATATCAAGTAAAAGTCAGTGCTAAGTTAATATATAGAATAAAAAAATATATTTTAACAAAAATATTTTTTTCGAGTAAAGCCAGTATCATGCCAAATCGGAGAATTTCTCCAACCAAATCCTTAAGAAATAATGTATAAGATTTAAAATGTTTAAAGCGAACTAAGAAAAAAGCAGATCATTCAGTCAAAACGTATCTCACGGTCAAAGAACAAACAAAATGATTACACATAAGAGGAGATTTTTCCTGTAAAGGGTGTTTATATGTGTAAGTCTTCTAGTTTCAACAAGAAAATGAATTCCAAAGAGACATGGGAGGTTTCATATATAAGCTTAGCATGAACTTCAAGATTCAACTATTCTCTCAGTGGTCGGGTGGCCGCGGTAGCCTAGTGGTCATGGCTTCGGATTAGTGGTCGACTATTCGATCCTTGGCTGCCAAAGACCCGCCGTGTAACCGGGGCTGATGCACGTTAAATCTGTTCGGGGCCCAAAGTTCTTCCGTTGGCGTGGTGTGGAAGTTAGGAGAGGGACATGCCAGCTCAGGTGTCATCCTCGTCCTATGACCGTAGTTCAAAATTACGAGGTCCGAGGCAATAGCCCTCGTGTTGCTTCTAGTGCGACGTTAATATAAACTAAACTAAACAATTATGTTGTGTTGCTCAGAAAAATAATTTTTGTAGAATAAATAGTAGTCATGGTCGCGCACTCACGGTTGGTGTCGTATTTGTCGAGTCGTGGGTTCGAGGTATGATACCACTAAAGAATCTTTGTACATCGGGGATGATGCACGTTAAATCTGGTCGAGGTCTCAAGTCCTCCCTCTAGCTAGATATGGAAGTTTGGAGAGAGAGGGGCGTCAGGTGTCGTCCTCGTCACTTGACTGAGATTCAAACTAAGGATTCATTCGTCATTTGTCCTCGTGTTGCTTCTCCGTGCGCCTTTAATGAAAGAAAAAAAAAGAGAATTTAGAATATATTAAGTATATATGATTATGTTCAAAAATCCAATCCCATTCATATAAATTGAATTACGAAATCTCAAATGTAGTCTTTTTTTTTTATCTATTACAAAATTCCACATAAATTCGTTTTATTATAGTTACAGTGGCACAAACAATTGAGGATACACCTTACTTTTACTTGATAAATCAAACTTTCAATCAAAATAACACCTTAACCAGAAGTGCAAACGAATTTTTATTCTTAGACATAACAAAAGGTTTAATTAACAGTAAAAATAAAGAAAAATCAACGACAAAATTCTAAAATAAAACTTTTTAGAGGCATTTCAAATAAACATAAGCAGATTTTTACCTCAAAAAATTGAGGATTCACAAATGAAATTTTTGTTTAACTACCACTTGATTTCTTTTTGCTTGCTACTAATAATCTAAGTTTGGGAAATTTTATCCTAAACTTTTTCAACTGTTATTTCTGTCTTTTGAAGTTGGTTATGAGAATATAAAGCTGTAATTTTAAATAGAAAATGACTCCTCGGAAAGAGACTAGTATTGATGTAAGAAAATTTATATTAAGGTTATTTAAGAAGGGAAAATCTTATCGTGAAATAGCTGAAAATGTCGGTAGAAGTCACTCATGTGTCCAGAAAATCATTGGGAAATTTAAACGCGATGGATTAATTCAAAATAAGAATGGAAGAGGAAGGAAAAGTATTCTGAGTGATGTAGCTAAAAGGAAAATTTTAAAAGATATCAAGATTAATCCTAAACTGAGTGCAGTCAAACTAGCTGCAGAAACTTCTCGAATAATCTGCAGAAGTGTAAGTGCTGAAACTGTGAGAAATGTGATTAGACATGCTGGATATAGCAGTCGAGTAGCTAGAAAGAAACCTTTCATAAGCTTAAAAAATAAGAAAAAGCGTTTGGAATTTGCAAAAACTCATCAGTTGAAGACAGAAAACTTTTGGAAGAAAGTTATATTTAGTGATGAAAGTAAATTCAACATTTTTGGAAGCGATGGTCGTCACACCGTTTGGAGAAAGCCGAACACCGCTTTGGATCCAAAAAATTTACGTCCTACAGTTAAACATGGTGGTGGCTCCGTCATGGTTTGGGGTTGTATGGCTGCAAATGGGGTAGGAAATTTAGTTTTTATAGATGGTATAATGGATCATAAGCTTTATACAGACATACTCCGCAACAATCTTAAAGAAAGTGCACAAAAATTGGGTTTAGATGGAAATTTTATACTTCAGCACGACAACGACCCCAAACACACGGCACGTAATGTCAAAATGTGGTGTCTTTTTCATTGTAAACAGCAATTGCACACACCGCCACAGCCCCCTGACATCAATGTCATAGAAAATTTGTGGGCCACACTAGAAACAGCGGTCCAAAAACACCAGATTAGAAACAAAGCCCATTTAAAGCAAGTGTTACAAGAAGAATGGGATAAAATATCTCCAGATACCACTAAAAAATTGGTCGAATCGGTACCAAGACGTTTGGAGGACATTATAAAAGCCAAAGGACATGCAACAAAATACTGATACTGTCTATGCATGTAATATATCGAAAAAATTTCATTGGTGTATCCTTAATTTTTTGAGGTAAAGATCTGCCTATGTTTACTTCAAATATTTGTGAAACTTTAAATTTTAGATATTTTTTTGTTGATTTTCGTTATTTTTACTGTAAATTAACCCTTTTATTACTTGTAAAAGTAAAAATACGTCTTCTATTCTAGTTAATGTGTTATTTTCATTAAAAGTTGGATTTATCAAGTGAAAGTAAGGTGTATCCTCAATTGTTTGAGCCACTGTATGTCTTTTTAAGTATGAGAACTTGAATTATTTCTTTCACATTCAGGAGTTCTGAAAATTAGTATGAATTTATACTTTCAATAGCTTGAATAGTAATATTTTTTGAAAGAAAAATAAAATAGCTTGATAATACAAAAAACTAATTAATTTTCTTTGAATTATTGAGGAAGACAAAATACACTTAAATTAGAACTTATTAAATCATATCAAATTGTGTGTTGAAAGGTGTGGGTTGACAAATAACCTTCTAATATTTCTCTGAATTCAAAAATAAGGTGGAAAAGAATATATAAGAATATATCAAAAACTATATATATATATATATATATATATATATATATGTATGTATATATATATTAAGAAATTTATTTTTATCAGTACCTTTTAACAACATTTTTTATATAATAGTAAAGAAAATATAATAGTATCAGTTTTTATATAGTAGCATCTTTTACTAATATTATGGAAAAAATGTTCAGTTTGGGATCAATTTTGACACGTAAACTCTTATTATAATGAAAACTGATAAGAAAAATGTTCTCGATTTACTGATTAATTATTTTATCATTACGTTTCATTTTAAAATAAAATACATCTAATGGGATTCTTAAAAAAAGATTGAAATAAATCTCCCCCCCTCCCCTCTTTGCCTCAATATTGGGGAAGTAACACTCTAGGAAACACATAAGAAAAATCCAACATATTTTACGCTAAAAAAAATAACGAAATGTTTTTCAACCGGTTTAGTTCAAAAAAGAAGATTACTAATTCTTCGAAGTTACTAAAGCAGCACTTTTATTATGTGCTCAAACAAAAATAGCTATTGAAAGAGTTGAAGTAAGAAATCTATACCAAGCAGATCATATGGTTTCAAAGCACGTTCAACATTTTTAAAAGTATAAAAATAGTTAAATGTCGGTAAATATTTCTATACACCAAAGCAGAAAAGAGGAAGGAAAACCGGGACAAATTTAAATGCAGTTTAAAATATCAAAAAGGATGTAATTTATTCGAAAAATGTTGGCTTGGTTATAATGGGTTAAGATAACACTAACTTTTTGTATGTGGGTATCAAAAACTTTAATTTTATTCCTGAGGGTAATAGATCTTTTTTCATCATTATACGTAAAACATATAAAATAAATAAAGGTATTATTTATTTTACTAATTAGCTCACTTGAACAAAAACTGAGCATTAAATTCATAAACCAGAAAAAAAACAGCTGAAACATTTGAATAATTGAATTTTGAAATTTTCTGGCACAAACAAAAGTCTTCCGAATCATTTTAATGATATTAGCCGTCGTTTAAAATAGGTCAGTTTTGAATAGGATTTAATAATGTATAAACTATTCATCATTTGGTTAGCTTTCATAAGAACATCGGATGAATTTGCGTGGTTTAGTTCAACAAGTTACTTTCAACATTTTTAACAAAACTATTTTGAATGACCGTTAAAATAAATCTTACGTCTATCAAAATGTTTTTTTTACATCTTATTCATGTTTCTAGAATAGATTTCCAAAATTTTAGCACACGTGGGAATAAACACAGCTACTTTTGAAATAAGCGCACTACTAACAAAAAAATTAAATTAAATCTTACAAATTATCTTAATAAATAAAACAAACTTTAAATATTTTCGAAAAATTTTACTTTAGAATGAAAAAAACATTTCTTCCCTAAGAAACATTCTTTTAGATATTTATATTCTCTGCATAACTTATGAAATTTTATAATGAGAGTACTTTTCTCACTTAAAGAAGAAAGTAATTTTTTTCTCAATTATTTGGTACTTATAAGTTAAAAAAAAACAAAACTGAACTTTATATATATTTTATCATTAATTTAGATAGACATATTTAACATATACTTTTAATCGGCTTTCAAAAATAATATTTAGATGTTTCTGAATTTCTGATTATGAAAATGATCTAAACCAATTTTTTAATTCGAATATTTCTTATTATGAAAGGTCCGAAATAAAATGTAAAATTATTAATACGCAATTGTAATAACAGAGAAATACCTCATGTGAAATTTCTGTCAGATGGAGATCTGAGATGTATCTTAATGTAATCATTTATAGGTTAAACTAAATCAATAGAACAGTTTTACCATTATCAGACATTCTTTTACCTTTTTGTTTAATCTAGTTCTTAGCTCTGAGCTAAGTTTTTTTATTTACTTCCTTGAATAAACAGTGATAATTTGCGCTCTTCCAATGAATGAGTGTCATGTAATCAGTGTGTCTGAGAGAGAGACAGAAAGAAAAAAAAATTACGAAATCAGTGCTTCGCCCCCTTCTTCTCTTCCCCTCAATATTAAACAATATCTTTAATTTACTTGAAACTTTGCAGAAATACATTTTAATTATTACATTTACGGAAACAAATTATAAAATAATATGTGTGCAACTTGTTTCAGATTAATTGTATTTTAGAATTGATTTTTCACTGCAAAACATGTATAATTTTGGCAATTAGTGTTTCCCGCTACCCATTATAACTCGTTCACTCCCAACGTATCATATTCGATACACTCGCGTTTGCTCTCCTGTGCCCAGCGTATCATATTAGATGCGCTCCGAAAATGCCTGCTACAGACCAACGTATCAGTAGAGATGAGCTAGATCAAAACGTTTTATTTGATTTCTTTAATGTTACTATATGGCGTTACGATACCGCGAAATCTATATAGATAAGTTATTTGGAGTGTTGACCTTGGTGATATGGGGTTAAATTTCACTTCTGGCTATCAGGAAGGGAGGGTAATTGTTAAAAGCGCGTGCAATGGCTCGGCTCTTTAA